CGCTCTTCCGATCTCCCCAAAACCCCAAAACCCCATCTTGACACAATTTAGTAAATGATATAAATTATCTAAATTAAGAGTATAAGTTCATTAATATTCATCTATTACTGGTCCAATCATTAGCATTTTAACTTGAGAATTCGGCTTAACATAGCAGTTTAGAGTAGCTATGGATGGCTTATAGAAATTTGGCTACATTTCCATTTAATTCTGATACATATCTGCTTAGATATGTCCCTCTTTATTGATGCTCATAAAATCAGCATCATCATTAACATACTAAACTTATTAAGGAGAGTGACTTCGAATTGGACTTGCTGAGGTATTATACTATCTTTGAATTATTGCATCTGGCACTGCAAACTAAGAAGTTCTCTACAGACTCTAGTAGTCTTATCCTATAAACTATAGCAACTCAGCTCTTTATTACTGGTTTTTGCTGATTTATTAATTCTAGAGATTAGCAGAGTTACCGAACTTCATGTCAACTGTATTATAAAAGCCTCTGAGGTACTTCTTATTCATTGCTGCTGAAATAGGCCTATGTCTGAGATTGCCTTTCAACGGGTAGATGACTTCTTTCTCTTACAAGTTATTGCATTAATTATCTTATTGATGAGCATAGGATCTCAGACTTTCGATTGTGTGTAGTTTATCAGGGTTATTGAAAGTCATCGCTCTTAAATTTCTAGGATCATTTGAAGGCGCCCTATCTTTCAAAGAGTACATAGACTTCTTGCCTTGGCTCATAAGTAGCACTCTGTGCTGCTTATGATTAACTTTGATATTTGAAGAAGATATATGGTTAGGTAGCTATTCTTGGCCTTAAAAGTTCTGTGATTATCCCTCCTCAACTGAAATTACTTAGTTAGATTACATTGAATTTTAAATGCCTGCATCCTCCATCATATTTGATCTTGGGGAGGGGTTTTAGTTTTTCTAAGGAGAAGTTGTGTCGAGACCAGAAGGCTTACTACTACAAGCTGACAGTCCTCTATATTTGGAAGATGATGTTATTGCTGTCTGAGGCCTATAATGAGCAGTTGATTTAATATTGCCTCTTTGAGTAAAAACTGGCTTAAGATTCTTTGCTTTTGCCATTTATTTATTAAATTCATCTTCCTCTTCTTTTGACCCACCTCCATCGTCATTAATGACATCCAAAGGAGTCTCCCTTCTCTAGTTAAAAGATTTTTAAGCTCTTGAATCAATCATTAACCCTTAAGCATTATTTTATTGCACCTTCTAACTCATTATCTAATGATTTTAACTCTATGATGGGTTTGTTTGTTGATTATCATTTGTGCTTGATTAAAATGCATGCTAAGGTTTCAAAGGCTAGTTATTATTCGAGGCAAAATTGTTAACAAACTAGTTTTAGCTTGATTAAAGTTGCTATGTTGATTAGGAAGGATTCAATCTAGTATAGGATACTTGCTTGATCATATTAGCTTGAGCCTAGATTAGTTGCCTGTTCTTGTGATACTTGTAATTGAAATTTGAGTTAATCCTAATATCTCTATTCTTTAATGCTTTGTGCTCGAAAAGCTACTGCGTTGATCCGAGTTGCTCTTTATTATAATTGAAATTTTAAGGATTCAAATTATTACTCTAAGGAGTGAATGTTTGGTACTAGAATACTAGATTTTAATAGGTAGGAGACATCAGTTTAGAGTCAGTGGTGGTATTACTTTAATAGGACTGCAGATGGAGTTGTTTTTAAGTTCTGTCTTTCTTCAAAGTTTAGTTGAAGGTTTAAGGGTGACTTTCTATGCTCATTTGAGAGCCAATCATATTTTGTTAAGATTAAGAATGAGGCATGCCAGATTAAGATTGCTCATCAGCAGTGCTTATTTATGTAAAATGAGCATTTGAACTTGAAGTTGGTGCTCCACGATTATTCTTCTTGCCGCTAGTTATTCGCTAAAAATGCCTTAGTTTGCTTGTCATAGGTCTGTTACTATACTTCAGTGTTTTAATGTTGACAATCTACTCTATTTTTATCTCAGAGTCACTTTCATCCTCTACTATAATGTCATTATGGTTGTTTCCATTGTTTATTTAACTAAAACTGCCTTTGCTCTCTTCAGTCCTATTGTTTTATATCGCTGCTGAAAATGGTCTTGTTTGCATTCGCGAGTGATTGCTGTGAGTATTGCTAATGCTGTCTAGAAAACTTGGCACTCCCTTAGCAACTTCATATTCATTATCAAGTTTCTACTACTATTACACGATATTACCAGTCTCAGCACCTTCTTCATCCTCTAGTTCAATAATTACGCCATTCGACTCATTAATGTCTATATCACTCTTTAACATTGAGTTATCTTTGTCCCCAATATACTTCGTATTCAATTTCCTGCCTTTTCTCCTTGGCTTCTCATCACTTAGCAGGCCTTTTTCCTTTAGATCATGATTCAGCTCTTTTATTGTAGTTGCTTTCCTCTTGCTATATAAATCAAACTCTCTTGAATCATCTAGGGGCTTGTTGGAGTTCTTATAAAACCTTCTCTTCAGATTATTCAAGGGATCTTTTTCTCTTTGAAGTACTCTACTGCTAGCACTCTACGGCTTAGTATATGCATTGAATTAAAGTACTACATTAAGATTGCCGTTCTTGATCTGAACCAAGTCTTCTTTATCATAAATAGGCATTAGTCTTTCATTATTGGCTTTTTAATCTTCAAGCATCTTTTAGTATCCCTTTCGAGTCTAATGCAGTTGGTTATGCAGTTTATAGTATTCAATTTTCTGTTTAGCAGGAGTCTTTAGCTCGTTCTCAAAGTAGTCGAATCCACTGGACATGTACTTAATTGAAGTCATCGACTATGAATTTCTCACTGCTTTCTTTGAATTAGCTGCATTGTTCTTTGGCTTCCATAGTATAGAAGTTCGATCTAGCTTAGGCTTAGGCTGTTTACCTTTGTCGCTTAGCATAGAGGAAAGGTTGTTATTGTTTTGAGTTCGAGAAAAATTATTGTAGCCCTTGTTTGAGGTTTATGTAGATACTATATTAGGGCATTATGATCCAAGCATCTCTCCTCCTCTGCTGTTCTTGCTGAAGAATAATCTACAATAATTGATAAAATGATGCATGAATAAACTTACTACTTTAGAAAATCTTCAGGAAGGAGATCTTCTGGCTTCAGTGTATGCATATCTCTTAGCTGCTTAGAGCTCTGAACTCTATTTACTCTGCTTTTTTTATCCAGTTCTACAGTTTACTTGATAAGATCGTTCCACTCATGAGTTTAAGTTGCACTTTGAATCTAATCCATGTCTAGCATTGCAGGATGCATATCTTTTTAAATAGCAAGTATAGCAGCAGAGTAAGGTCTAACCTATGACTCTTTCTTATGAGAGTCCTTTCTGCATTCATAGCTACTCTTAATCCCGTATCTTGTCTTATCATCCTAGCCTTGCATAGTGTGCGACTGAGACAATTGGTGATAACTCATGCTCATCCCCACACCCTTGTCATCTTTCATTGGGGCTATGTGCATAATAGATTCCTAATTCAGAGTAAGCTGATGCTTGAATTCATCTCTCTCATCTATGACCTGGCTGTTAATGTTAGCTTTTTAGCCTAATTCTGCGAGTTTCACAGGCAAAGACATTCTATCGGTTGTGGGTTTCCCTGACATGGGTCTTTAAACAACTCTCGACTGACTTTTTATTGCAATACTCTCTATTATTATTTATTACTGACTAGTATATATACCATTGACAAATTAAACTTTTGTAGATACATCCATCTAATCTAAATTTAGAGCGTTTGCCTCTTAACTCTACTTATTAATGTGTACTGTTGTCCCTGCTGCAGAATTTTGGCTTTTAAATGTCAGAGTTTATTCGCTATAAAGCTTAGATTTAAAAATTGGTAATGCTTCAAGAAAATTTTTACTTGAATTAGGTCTTTTCAGAAGTATTCAAATGCAAGTTCGAAGACTAAATATTCACTATGTTTAGATCCTAGTTTATATTTTCTTTATTAGGCAACTCTTTGTGTAAGTTATCGCTCATTTTTATTTCTTCGTATTTATAAACAAATTCTAATTCAATTAATTTACAACATACCCAGTCTATGGTTCCTCACGGGGTTTTGGGGTTTTGGGGTTTTGGGG